CCCCACCCGCACCCCCTGCCATGCCTAGCACAATGCCCAGCCCCTGGGAGGCCCTTAGTAAGTGTTGGAATGAGTGGCTCTTGATTGTTCCCTCCAGTCTCCTCCCCCTTTTCTAGAGATGTCACTTCATCCCACCCAGCGCCCATCACTCCCAGTTCTCTTCCCAGCTTGCCCTCTCCTCCTCTGCTCGTTCCTGTTGTCTTGCATGGTGTGGGCTGTGGCAGAACGTATTCATCTTTACTTCCCTTAGGGACCCTGTAGAGAAAAATCCTAGGGCCCTTTGGGAAGGGGATGGGGGCGGCTGACTGATAACCCTCCCGTTCCTCCCCTCAGTACATGGGCTGTGTGGAGGTCCTGCAATCCATGCGTGCCCTGGACTTCAACACCCGGACTCAGGTCACCAGGTCAGTGGGGAGGGGGCAGAATGTGGGCCTCCTGGGGCTGGTGCGGGGAGGTGGGCGTGGGTCCCTGGCTGATGGTGTGAGTGATGGTTTATCTTTGGGTGGTAAAGGGGATTGAGAGAAAAGTTAGGGGAATGAGTCCACGTCTGAATGAAAAGAGGCAACTCTGGCCTGGATCCTTCTTACTCATCCAGCCTTGGGAGTTGTGGGAGGAGGTGGCAGAGGCAGCTGGCAGCTGGGGCTCGAGTAGAAAATGGGGGTAGATGAAAGGTTGCTGCTGCCTTTGGGAAGGGAATGGGACATTGGGTAGCTGGAAGGGGGTGGGGCCAGCCTATCGAGGCCCTAACCCAATCAGCCAGGAAGCGGCCTCTCAGTGTCATCAAATATTAAAGGCCCTTAATTCAATCCACCACGACAAAGAGCCTGGAGTGCCCCTGGAGTCTGGTCTGGCCCTCCCCTCCCCCTCCCCCTCCCAGGCCCCATGGCAGCCCCAGCCGAGGGAGAGGCCGGCTCCGGGTCTGAGCACCCCTCTTTCCCCAGGGAGGCCATCAGTCTGGTGTGTGAGGCTGTGCCAGGTGCTAAGGGGGCTTCGAGAAGGAGAAAGGTACGAGGGGTCGAGGGGGTTAGGGATGCTTCTGGGAGCTGTGGAGAGGCAGGGCGACGGCAAGGATGGGACCTGCGGGGAGAAAGCCAAAAGGCAGGAGTGTGGGGGTTTCTGGGGGTTGGGAACCCCTGTCTTCTGAGACCCTTGGGTACTTCCTTAGCCCTGTAGCCGCCCACTCAGTTCCATTCTGGGGAGGAGTAACCTGAAATTTGCTGGAATGCCAATCACTCTCACCGTCTCCACCAGCAGCCTCAACCTCATGGCCGCAGACTGCAAACAGGTGGGGCTGGGCAGAGGGACCAGAGACACTGAGGGGAGGGCTGAGCGGGGGCCTGGCTGTGAGGGTGAGAAAAGAGGAGAGAAGGCTTGGGAGCAGCAGGACAGTAGGGAAGGAGGTGATTAGGAGGACACAGGGCAAGACATCAAAAGGATGAGAATGAGTCTCCGAGGTTCTGGGCCAGGGGTGGGGGGCGCTCAGGTGAGCCCCGAGGCTGCCTGACACCTCATTCCCTTCCTTCTCCATCCCCTGCCCTAACCCTCAGATCATCGCCAACCATCACATGCAATCTATCTCATTTGCGTCCGGCGGGGACCCGGTGAGTTGGGGAGCAGAGCAACAGTGGTGGGAGAAGAGGAAGGGACAGGGATTGGGAAGGTACTGGCCAGAGAAACGGGCATGCTAGATGGAGGCGATATCTGAAAAGGACTGGTATCTAGGGGCCAGGAGTGGGGTGGGGCTGTCAGATTTAGCTAACTGGCCTCTTCTGCCACTCTCTCCACTCCAGGACACAGCTGAGTATGTCGCCTATGTTGCCAAAGACCCGGTGAATCAGAGAGGTGAGGCATGGTGGGGAGCGCTGGGTGGGGCCAGCTCTCATGAGGCAGGTGAGCAGGATCAGGGGGAGCTAAGCCGGGGCTCCTGCTGAGGAGGAGGAGGAGGAGGAGGAGGAGGAGGGCTCTTGTCTGCACCTCCTCCCAGCAACCCCGCCTCAGAGCTCACCGACAGTCTCTGCCGTGCCCCCAGCCTGCCACATCCTGGAGTGTCCGGAAGGGCTCGCTCAGGACGTCATCAGCACCATTGGCCAGGCCTTCGAGTTACGATTCAAACAATACCTCAGGAACCCGCCCAAGCTGGTCACCCCCCATGACAGGTGAGCGGGGGAGGAGGGAGAGGGGCAGGCAGCTTTTGGGCCCCAGACCAGGATTGGGAAAGTAGGTCCGCTATTCCCACACTGGAGCTCAGAGTGGTTCAGGGAAGGAAATAACCTGTGTGCCCCCCGCTTCCCACTTCCTGCTATTCTTAAGCTTCCTGTGGCTCTCAGCAAAGCCAGCTCTCCCCTCCTTTCCCCGTGTGGAGCTGTAGCCCAGGGCTTCGTGTTGTAGCCCGTCCCTGGCTGGCTGGGCTTTTCATTGCCAGCGGCCTCGTATCTGGCCTGTCCCTCTTTCTTGCTGTTTCCCCATCCTTAGTTCTTTGTTTTCCTTCCCCTAGAAGCCTCTGAAAGTTTGAATGAGGGAGGGTGGCTCTTTCCTGAGTTCCTCGCCTTTCCTCCGGCCAGTAGGTATTTAGCAGAGATTAAAATATTCTGGAGCACCCCCCCCACCCCCTTGCTGCTTAGTGTTTCTCCTCCCTCTTAGGAGACAGTGTAATGATCAGAGGCATGAACTTTAAAGTCAAATCTGAATTTGCATCTCAGGTGAACCACCTTTCATTGGGAGACCTTGAGCAAATCTTTTCACCTCTGACCCTCATTTTCCTCATCTATAAATGAGGCGTGGCTCAGTGGTTGAGCATCAACCTATGAACCAAGAGATCACATGCTAGGTTGTGGGCTCTCTCCCTGGTGTGGGCGTGCAGGAGGCAGCCATTCAATGATTCTCTCTCATCATTGATGTTTCTATCTCTCTCTCCCTCTCTGAAGTCAATAAAAGAATATGTTTTTTAAAAACTGGGAAAGGAAATCCTACCTTATAGAGGTGCGGTGAGGATGAAATGATCATATAAAACACTCAGCCTAAGGCCTACCTCAAAGGAAGTCCTAATACATGGCCATTGTTTCTTTCCCCTCCCTCCATCCTCCCACCCACATTCCTCACTCCCTCCTGTTCCTCCTCTCAGGATGGCTGGCTTTGATGGCTCAGCTTGGGATGAGGAGGAGGAAGAGCCACCTGATCATCAATACTATAATGACTTCCCGGGGAAGGAACCCCCTCTTGGGGGGGTGGTGGACATGAGGCTTCGGGAAGGAGCCCCCCAAGGGCCTGCTCGACCCACTCTGCCCAGTGCCCAGAGCCCCAGCCACCTGGGAGCTACGCTGGTAAGTTGCTTTGATAGAGGTGGACTGGGCCTGGGATAGGAGTGGCTGGTTAGGGCCTCTGGTTTCACCTTATTTTTGTTCCTTCAGCCTGTGGGGCAGCCTGCAGGGGGAGACCCAGAAGTCCACAAGCAGATGCCACCTCTGCCACACTGCCCAGGTATGGAAGGGGCTGAGAGAGCCAGAGCCAGGGGTGCAGGAGGCAGGGCTGAGGTCCCTGAAAACCTCCCTTTCCTCAGCAGGCAGAGAGCTCTTTGATGACCCCTCCTATGTCAACATCCAGAACCTGGACAAGGCCCGGCAAGCAGGGGGCGGGGCTGGGCCCCCCAATCTTGCTGTCAATGGCAGTGCGCCCCGAGACCTCTTTGACATGAGTGAGTGCTTCTCCATTCCATATCCTGTCTTTCTACTTGGTTCCTCTTCTGCTCTTTCCTTCCTGGCCTCCCCTCCCTGAGGGTTCTGGTCCTGGACATGTGTTGTGCCAGCTGCCTCTCCTAGTCCTCTCTCTGCACCCCCAGAGCCTTTTGAAGATGCCCTTCGGGTGCCTCCACCTCCCCAGTCAGTGGCCATGGCTGAGCAGCTCCGAGGGGAGCCCTGGTTCCATGGAAAGCTGAACCGGCGGGAGGCCGAGGCCCTGCTGCAGCTCAACGGGGACTTCCTGGTGCGGGAAAGCACGACCACCCCTGGCCAGTACGTGCTCACTGGCCTGCAGAGCGGGCAGCCCAAGCACCTGCTGCTGGTGGACCCTGAGGGTGTGGTGAGTGTGGCAGGGGTATGGGTGGTGGTGCCCTCCTGTGCAGCCCTATTCCTTCCCTTATTACTTCCTAGATTTTCCCCGCGGGGCACCTCTGTGTGGTCCTCCCCGCTCTCAACATGCCTGGCATCCCCCATCCAGCGGCTGAGGGTTCTTTCCCCTCCACATTCCTGAGCATGAGCTGTGTTCCCTTCAGTCCTGGCCAGTCCTCAAATCTGCAAACTATAAACTATGCCCAGGGGAGTTAGGAGGTGCTTATCTCACTTGAGCCCCCCTTTTTTTTGACAAATGAGGTAACCATCCTGCAGAGGTTGTGCTCAGTGTCCATGGCTACAGGCTAGACACTCCATGTCTCCTCTTACAAGTGGGGCCAGGGGCTCCTTCCCTCCTCGACTTGGGGCTCAGACCAGGGTGCTGCCTGTTTTCTGCTGCTCCCCCGTCCCCCATAACTTGGTCTCTCTTCTACAGCATTCTCGGCCTCCTTTCCACATCCTTTTTATACTGTGTATTCTCCAGAGACTTGCCGCCTTCCTCCCGGTCACGGGAGCAGTAGCTATCCCTCCTAATTTCTGATGTCCTCTCGGCCTTTTCCCAGTTCACGGCCTTCCCATTCATGACCTTCTCTAACTTCTTTTTCTAGAAAAGCCTCAATGATCAGGAGGGACAGCCCTCCCACCCCTGCCATCTTTTTCTCCTCAACCTTCCTGAATATTGCAGCTTCTTCAGGCTCGGGGGCCGAGTTCTTAATTTGACTCTTCACCTGAATGGACTGTCTTCCTTCCCAGGTTCGGACAAAGGATCACCGCTTCGAGAGCGTCAGTCACCTCATCAGTTACCACATGGACAATCACTTGCCCATCATCTCTGCGGGCAGCGAACTGTGTCTACAGCAACCGGTGGAACGGAAATTGTGATCCGTCCCAGGTGCTTGCCGGAAGACTCCCTTCAACCCGCCCACTATCCCCTGACTTCAGGACCTCACTTTGGAGTGTTCTGTGAGCTTGGCCTTGTGTAGGAGCTGGGGGTAGTGTGGACACTGGGTTTAGCATCCAGCTCAGGGAGAGGGTTTGAGTCAGGAGCCTGGGGTAGAATCCTACTTCTCCCCAAACCTCACCAAAGTATTAACCTAGAGTGGCCCCTTCCCAGGGCCTTTCCTGTGCCAACCTGATAGCCCCTTCCTCAGGAAGGTGGGTGCTCAAGGCCTGGGCCGTGTGCCTCGTAATGGAAAATGTCCTGTGATGACAGGCAGTCACCCTTCCAGGAAACGAGCAACAAACCACACCTCCGGTCTGCCCCTGGGCTCAGGGTACTCCAGCCCCTCTCAATAGCCCTCCCTTCCCAGTGTTTAAACTTTGTGCCTTTGACCATCTCCTAGTTCTGAAGATATTTTATGCAAAGAGTTCTTGGGCCCCTGAGGCCAAGGATAGGGGTGCTGATCCCCTGGCTTCTGGGACCCTGTCCTCCTTGCTCAGCATCCCTCCAGTTTAGGTTGGGAGAACAGAAGCAGGAGTGGCAGCTGTTCCCTCTCCCTGGGCATATGCCACCTTTACAGATTGCCTCAGAGCTCCCCTCCCCGCCAGGGGGGAGATGGACCCCTTCTTTGCTCAGTGCCTCCTGGCCGGGGCCTTTGTCCCCAGGGGTTTGTATATACATATTGTTCACCCCACCCCTTCCATGTTGCATGCATGTTATATTCTACAGCCAAAGTGTAGCCCTTCCGTAGCCTCCACGCTGCCTCCCTGTGCTAGGGTGGTGGGGTGATGACAATTTGGGCTCCCGAACTGTTAGCTCTCCGAGGTAGATTTTGTGGAGGCAGGAACGGGCATTGAGACTCAAAAGCAGTAGACAATCCCCAAATACCATCTGTAGATTTGGATCTGCATTTATTTTTTATGCATATATTTTAGGGCTGTAGATTTACTTTCCTAATTTGTTTTCTATGGCTTATTCTTGAGCACAAAAGGTTGGTAACCGATGACATTTATACATCACCTCCTGGACTTTTCAAAGCCCTTTTCCAACTATTGGCATTTCCTCAGCCCAGCCTGTGTGGCATTTGGGGTCGACAGCATTGCCTTTTCTAGGAGACCCAGGTCAGAAGTCCGTGGGGAGTTGATACCGAGGCTGCCGGCTGCCGGCTGCCGGCTGCCGGGACGTTTGGTTGAATGGCCTGTTTCAGGGTCGGTGGGTGGGGGGACTTGACGCCTGCAGTTACTGAAGACCTTCTAGGGCGACTCTGTGAGGCCACTCCGACCTAGAAGCCTCCAGCCCGTCCCAAGGGAGAGCTGGCTGTCCGGACCCGCGCCTCCTTTTTGTTGTTTAGCTGTTTTCACCGGCCTCACTTATACCAAAGGGAAGGAATCTTCATTAAAGTCCGTATTTCTTCTACCTCGGTCTCAGTCACTGTCGCTACCTGTAGTTCGCCGGGGGCCCTCCGTGGCGGAGAGTTGGGGCGGCGAGACCCGCCTGGCCTCGC